TCTCCTGAAGTGGTTTCTATCCTGTCACCTTCAGGCTCGAGTGGAGAGAATGGAGCAATTCCAGAAGGAAAAAGAAGAGCTGGATAAAGGATGCAGGGAATGTAAACGGAAACTCGCTGAGTGCCAGAAGAAAATGAAGGAGCTGGAGGTGGCAGATCCAGAGAGCGGGAAGGGGGAGCTGGAGAAACTCCAGGCCGAAGCCCAACAGCTGAAGAACGAAGAGAAAAGCTGGGAAAACAAATTGGAGGAGCTGAAGAAGAAGGAGAAGAACATGCCCTGGAACGTGGACACTCTCAGCAAAGACGGCTTCAGCAAGGTGGGTTTGGGGGAGCCCCCGCTGTGTCCCCCCCCCGTTGCTGGGCTGACGGCTCATGTCCCTCTTCTCCTCAGAGCGTCTTCAACGTCAAACCGGAGGAGAAGGAGGAAACGGAGGAACAGAAAGAGAAGAAACACAAAACCTTCGTGGAGAGATACGAGAAGCAGATCAAACACTTCGGTGAGAGCCGGGCAGGGTTTGGGGGGCTGGCACTCCCTTCCCGGGGGCGGGGCGGGTGTCCCGGCGCCCTCCGCGCGCGGAGATTTTTTTTTGCTGCCGGGAGCGGCTGGGAAGTTGCTCGATCCGGTGAACAGTCGAACGATTTGACGTGTTTTTCACAAGATTTTTCGCCTGCTCGCCCAGCCGAGGCGAAGCTTGGTGCGCTGCCTTCGTTAATCGCAATTTGGGGGGTTTTAATTTAACTTCGGGATGAGTCATCTCTCCCCTTGCCGCCCCCCCTCCCCGCTTTTTTTTTTTTTTTTTTTATGCTGACGAGGTTTAGAGGCTGTTCTTTTTTTAACGAGTGGAAAAACCTTCTTCTGCTAACTGGGGCTGCCCTGCTTTGAAGGGATGCTGCGGCGCTGGGACGACAGCCAGAAATATCTCTCCGATAACCCTCACCTCGTTTGCGAGGAGACGGCTAATTACTTAGTCATCTGGTGCATCGATCTGGAGGTGGAAGAGGTGAGAAAGCGGGATGAAGCCCGTTCCTCCTGCCAGCTTTGTGCTGGGATCACGTTATTCGCCGTCTCGCTGGCCTTTCTACCGCAGGTTGATTTGCTTTTCCTGCCAGAAATCGTGGAATTGGGGAATTGTGGAATCAGGGAATTTTAGAGGCGCTGAGATTGGAAAAGACCTTTAAGATCATCGAGTCCCGTTGTTAACCTAAAACCGCCAACTCCACACT